AGTATGGGAATTGTAGAGGTATGGGCGCTGAACCAAAACAGCAACGAAAATACATTTTTTTCTGGCAGTATACAGCCATAGTATTCAAGACATAATTATTGAATGTTATCTTCTGCTAAGTACTTTCTAGATGATGTGGGTGTCAGTGAACAACCTAAAATCTCTCTTTTCATCAGGTACAATAGGGCATGCCTGCATTCTTAGCACTGGAAAGGATGGCACAGGAGGAATGTGAGCTTAAAAGGCTAGCCCAGAGTATACAGGGATACCACATCTCAACAAGCAAACAAAACCCCTGCCACTGTAATATTTGTATTCAATTTTTGTTTCAATGATCAAAATAAAGGAGTTAATCACGGAATGGGTTAAAAGGTTATCAGTGCTGTGGAAAGAAGAAAAAGAAGGATAGGGAAGTGACCAGGAAGATGTATACATGCAAACTGATGACAGTGTCATTCACAATGGCCAGGGTGGGCTTCCCCCCAAGGCAGCACATGAATGTGTTTTATAAAGCAGGTACTGTATTACTTGAGTGTCATGATAACAGCAGTTCAAGTTTTGTGCCCAGTATATGTCAGTCTTGTGCTACATGCCGTTTCTAAATGGCATGTGCTACATGGTATTTCTAAGTTTCAAAACAGTCACATAAAATAGGTCCTTTACTCTCATTTTATACAGAAGAAAAACGAGGGCTTAGAGAAGATAAACATAGAGTCAGAGGTCATATTACAAATAAATAGATTGGAGGGGATCAGGATTTTGATAACTAATTCCAAAGCTCATGGTCTTTCTACCATATCTGTGTTTCCTAATATGTGGTTTCCCTAGGCATGATAGGAATCTAGTTAAAGCTCCCGAAGGGATTCAGTACAAAGAGCTGATTCCTAGGCCCTATGCTATTCACTTCAATCTTCTGGAAAGTAGCCTAGGAATCTGAATGTCTAACAAGTTTCCTTGCAAGCTCTGCTGCACTTTGAGAATTACTATTATCATCTGTTACCTTGGTCTTTGGGGGTATGCAGACTAGATAGAGTATTAAACTGTAGCCCAGGTTGACCTGGAATTCACTCTGTAACTCAGGCTGGCCTCTAGTTGCAGAGATTTCTAGCCTCAGTTCAAAGACTTCCAAACAAGTGCCTGACCTGACCCTTTAAAAAATACAAAATTCAATTCTCATGGTTGCGGGGATAGAATCCAAGACCTCATACATACAGGGTAAGGACTCTATCACTTAGATATAGCCCCAGACACTAATCTGATTCTTGCATCATGTTATCCTTTGGTGCCTCTTTAATACTGGGCTAAAGCAAGATTCTTCCTTGCCTTTGCCTATTTCCCATTAACTCAGGTCATGGTCACAGAGGAGACATTCTCAGCATTATAAAATGAAGGACATTAAGAACAATGTTTAGATCACTGTCAGGCTTCTTGGGTCTAGATCCTTTCCACCAGTTCTTTTGTGGAATGATTGTTTGCAGGGTGCTTTGTGCTTTTAAGGAAAAGCTCACAGCCATTGCTGCTAAGTCTTTATTTGCAGTGTCAGTGGTAGGAGTATATCCCTTTTCCAACTCATAAACCAACCTAGGGACTATGAAGAGACACAGTGGCTAACTACCTTTAGTCAGTTGGCAGGTTTTGTCTGTCTAGGTTCATCACTCTTCATTTGGGGTAATCATTGTTCTAGAAGCATCTTAAAAAATAAAAATAGTAAACAAAATTTTATACAAACAGCTGGATTTTTATCCACCCATAAGCATGAGCTTATATGAAATTTGGTATCATAGAAAAGATTCTGAAAGGTCAAGTATGCCAAGAGAATCAAAAGTTGTGATGAAATTAGTTTTTCTTCTGCTTTAAGAAGTATAAAAGGAGAAGTCAGTTCTGAAGCACTGAACCCCACAGATGTTAGAGCTAAAAAGGATCTTGGATAGCATTCATTTAAGACTATTCCATGATAACTAAAGAAATAGAAATCAAAGATGAGGTCATGTAACTAACATAGAAGAGACAGATTGTAGTCAGGTTTTCGGCTCTACTTTATTTTTACAGACTCTGGTTTGGGAATCTGTCTTTCTCCCCCTTCAATTTCTTCCACTGTTCTTTTTTTCAGTACAGTTCCCACAGTCCATCTAAGGAGATCAGACATGATTATACCTATGGTTAACTTAGGCTAAGAAAGGTATACTTAATTCCTGCATGCCCAAACTTTCCCTGCATGTAAGACTTGGGAGATAGAAATCATACATCACACAGCTACTATCAAGTCACTGCTGAATCTAACCAATGTTTATCTTGTTTCTACCATGCCATTGGCACAGCAGTAATGAATGCATGGACCAGACAACACTACATTTTGGTGAGGAGAAACACAACCAAAAAGAAAAATTGGCAAAATTATCAGTAGTGGTGACTTCTAAGGAAGAAAAGAACAGAGTGTGAATATGAAGTCAGGGTGTAGTGGTGGTGGTATATGTGTGCGTGTGTTAGCAATAGTAGCAGGAGTCACAGCAGGAATAGTAAAGTGAGGGGGGAGGCATTAGATTATAGACAAGGTCATCAAGATGGGCTTCTCTAAGAAACACAAGTCATAACTTGTGCACATAAATATTTGTTAATGCCCAAGAGAATATCAACATCAGTCTCTGCAGAGAATGATAAAAATACAGCAGGTTTGGAAAAGATCACAAGAGACAGAATACTGATGCTTTGCTGCTGTCCTAACTATTCCAGGTGGCAGGAAGTAGAGGAGGGATGACACAATTACAATGACTCCGCCTTTTAAGGGGATCAGGAAGCATTTTGTTGTATACAAGGCGAAAAGAAATTCCCGATGGTTTGTGGTTTCATATAAAGGAAAACTTTGCTTAGAATACAGAATTTAGAGAATAGAATTAAGATTGACGAGAGATATTATTTTGTTAAAAAGTCCAGAGAACATGAAGTGATGCCAAAACAACTTGGCAAGATGATATGTGACTTAATGAAAATATTGAAAAGTTCAGACATTTGATTCATCCAAATATGTAGTTAATTATGAGGATTTGGACTGAAGTGTGAAATTTATATAGTTGATGACTAATTCAACATTTTTGAGAGCTCTCCATGTGCAACACAGGGACAATGCTTCAGAGACACAATAGGGAGCAAGCTGCCACTGTTATTCACTGTGGTAAATGCATTTCCTCTTCCAACTGGGCATCTAGCAAGAATACAACTCCCAGCCTCCCTTGAAGTTAAATATAATTTGTGAGTAAATTCTGGCCAATAGAACTCAGTGCATATGATGGGTACTCCTTTTAGGTATACAGTAAAAGCCTAGGGATATCAGAATCTTAACAGTACAAGGATCTTAGGTTTCTAAGTCACCACCTATGAGGCAGTCTATCAAATGTCTGATAAAACATTATGGTACTTATGTCTCTGGTGCTAAAATACTGAAATTCAATGCAGCCCATGTTGCCAAACTAATATAATTATTAACTCTTGGACAGACACTTCCATCTGTATAACTTTTTCTCATAGCAAATGATTCTGGTAATAACTTTAAGAATTAGATTTTTTTCATTTTACATGAGTTAAATTCATGCTTATGGGATATTGAATTACTCGATCACAATATTGTCATTTGAATATGCAAAATAAATGTGTATAGGACAAGCATGGCAATAAATCTATTATAAAGAATTTGATGAATATAGGTAAACACTGAAGGAGATTCAGAAAAGCTAGCTAGCATTCAAGGTTGAAGGAGCCACAGAAAGCTCCAGTTGAATAGGCAGGCTTTATTTCATTTTCAAATGATAAGAGAAATATCAAGAGAAACGTGGAAAACATTCCTGTAAAAATTGACATGCAATCTGAGTAGAGAACAGAAATAGAAGAAAATTGGCATTTGCTCTACTGTTTCAAGGGAAGTTTGAGCAAGCAATACAGTTTTATGAAGGAAAACAGGAACTGGTAATTCAATACAAATAAAAAAAATACTTACTGAGTGCCTACCAGATGCAGGACCTTCCAAAAGTGTACAGAGGATACAGATAAGTGATAACAAGGACAGAGTCCTTGCTTTAAATGCATTTATAATCTGCTAGAGGAAATGACCATACATGACTGCAATACAATGCTGAGCAAGATAAACATAAATAAGAATAGTAATGGGTTTCAGGAGATAGATAAATGACATGGGAAATGACAAGGGAAGGGCATGAGACAGAAAGGTGAAATTTCATACAGATTGACCTTGGAGAAATCATGTCACCATAGTTGGTTATGAACATGTGAATTCACAAAGATACTACAATTCCAAAAGAGGTATTTTATTAATATTTTGAGCAAGAACTACTGCTCCATGGGTAACTCAATCTTTACATATGATTATTATTTAAGGGACAAGAAAATGAAGTTTGTACTTCTGATACAATGATGAAAACATGGAAACAAACTTTTGTAGTGACACTAGAGTAATGGAAGATTCTTTTTTTGTGTGAAGAAACTCAGTTTAATGTGAAACTTACTAATTTTTTCATATCTTTTTTCCTTTTTTATATAAATTAGAAGCAAGCTTGTTTTACTTGTCAATTCCAGTTCCCTCCCTCCTCCCCTGCCCCCACCATCCCCCATCCCATCCCTTTCTGTTCCTCAGGGAGGTGAGGCCTTCCACAGGGGATCTTCAAAGCCTGTCATATCATTTGGAGAAGGGTCTAGGCCCTCCCCCATGTGTCGAAGCTGAGAGAGTATCCCTCTTTGTGGTGTGGGCTCCCAAAGTCCATTCGTATGCCAGGGATAAATACTGATCCACTGCCAGAGGCCCCATAGACTGCCCAGTCCTCCTAACTGACATCCACGTTCAGGGGTCTGGGTATCAAACTGCCTCATTTCCAATGAATTCACTCATGAGCAGCACAGCAGACCAGAAAGCAATAAACTTGAGTTTCATTATACCACCAGAGGCAAGCAACAAGAAAATCACTGAGGTGTCTAACCACTGTGGGGCCACTTACCATGAACAGGGCTTCATAGTTTTCAATCATCTTCTGTACCACAGCTATGATAGCTGTGCTCTCTTCAGCTCTGGCTGAGCTCTGAACAGAATATTCTTTGTCTGATGACTTCTGCTTGTGGAGCAGGTTGGGTCCAAATATAGTGGCCAAGTTCAGAGATGTCATTTTGTTCCCAGTGACCTATGAGAGAAGAAAACCAAAGACTGTTCCTATGTTGCTTTTTTAAATGTTGGGAGGTTCAATAAGCCATGAAATATTTTCATTAGTAATTTTTCCTTATGTGGAAAATATCACCTTTGTCAGAATCAAAGAGGACATGGAACTATGCCCTTTTTCTTCATATTTTGGATTGAAGATCAAAATTCATCAGTCATCTCAATAGCACACTGAATAAAATCTTGCAATTCTGGAGTGTTTATTGTCAAACTCTTATTATTCAATATTTCCAAACCATTTGTACTTAAAAAATATTGATGCTCTGCAATCCATCTACCAATGTGTCTCTCCATCTGTCACTTTACCCACCAATCCATAACATCTCCACTCATCCATCCACTCAGCATATTTCTACCCTAAGCTTGACATTTTCCATGGGTCAAAATTATTTTTAACATTTCCAACAACAATAATCACAGCACAGTCCTTATTTTAGCGGGCTTATGTTCTAGGAAGGAAGTCCACTTCTCATTCCCAGTTAGTGAGTACTAAAATGGATCTTATCAACTCCAAAGACCCCAGAATTTGGAGGTATCAATATTAACAAAAAAATCATTTGAAAGAATGAAAGCATTATGTCTGGTGAAAAGAACAGAGTCTCTTGGGTACGGAACATTTTCACAGTGGAGCACACAAAAGCCACATGGAATATATTTGAGACATCAGAGCAAGAGAATTTTATATGGAGAAGGAAGGATTTGCCTGTTTGAAAGAGCATCCTATGGCTGCAAGGACATCAGTGATGTGACAACACATGGGGCATGGGACCACAGCTAGGTTTCAGCAGCTAGCTTCTGAACTGTAACATAAGAAATAGAAGTAAAGTATAGTTTCCAATCGTCATGTAGATTGTCAATGTAGAGAATTAGGGTGCCATGCTTGGGATGAGGATTCCGTGTTTAAATAACAGTAACAGAAACCAATTGAGAATAGGCAAGGAATATGGAGGGTTGAGGTGGGGCCCCTTAGACTTAACCACCCTCAAGAAGCAACTGATGAAACAGACCAAGAAAGGGGCCAAGCATTTGGAGAATAAGAGAAACGTGTGCTGGGAAAGAATGCTAGAGGAGTTTCAAGTGTATGATCTCCTGAGACAGATGTTCACCATGACATTCTATTCATTCCCCTCTGGACTGGATTTGAGGATGGTTCTGATGGACTAGATTAGAGCCTTTGCAGGGTTGAAGCATGCAGTGAGAACAGTGAGGACAGATGCTTCTTCAAACACTCTCCCAAGCAGGGACAAAGAAGGGCATGGCAAGGCACTATCAGGAATCATAGAATGAAGGAAACACAGTACTGTTTAGGTGAAAATATTAAAAAAAAATGAAACACACACATGATCAGTGTTAACAAGTAGAAAGCATGGGCAAGCATGTAGAAACAAAATAACTCTCATCTACCCCTCTTCTGACCCAGTTTCCAAATACTTTTAAGTGCCAATTTGCACAGAAACCTGTAGTACAGTTTTTATTCCCTGAAATCTAGAGTCTCACTCCATATCCTATTTGTAACTTGCTTGTTGTCTCTTACCAACATGTTTCGTTCATCTCCCAATTTCAAATAACTCTTCAGTTTTTCTAGGCAGTTAGCAACCTGTTGCATAAACTGATAATGATTTGTTTTAAGCACAGTCAAATGATATGCATTTGTGTCATTTTCAGTCTTCTGTTGCTATAAATAATGTACAGAAATATCTACATAAAGGCATTTTATGTGCTTGGCTGAGCAGTGTCTTGGGAGTCATTTCTCCAAGTTAAATTGTTATAATAAGGAATATGAGCATTTTTAAAAGCTTGGTAATCTTATTACTTACTTTCCTTTTTCACATGGGAAGGAAAGTCTGGCTAAATATTTCTATCCAGTGTTTATCATGGCAGTAGTAAAATTTGTGGCAGACTATTCTTTGTTGTGGGGACCATTCTAGGCAGGGCAGGATATCAAGTGTCCTTAGATCATTAAATTCTAGTAGCATCCCTTCGCATCCAGTTGTGCCAACAACAGGTGTTTCCACATGGGCTCTGTGTACCTTGTAGGGCAAATATGTTTTTTTTTTTTATGAGAACTGTTGGTCTGTGTGAACTTTGATTTCTCTTGTTAACATTAGCTGAGAATGCTGAGGACTGTCAGGATAAAGATGCACACCCAACCCCAGGAAGATCCACACCACCTTTAAGACAGTATGTGACTACCTAGTATAAGATTCAGGAATCTTCACAGAACAACCAAGTTAAAGCCCTTGAGTCTCCCCTTTACCATGTGAAGCTCTGAACTGGTGGTAGTCTTGTCCTGCAAGCTCCTCATGGAACTTGGGTTGCCTTTTCTTTTTTTTTTTTTTTTGTTAAAGGATGAGGCTATTTTCAGATAAACAAGTTGCCACCAAGGGGAAGTATTATTCTGTGTGGTAAACTTTACAAATATAAAGACACGGTACTTTTCTATGGGACTTTTAGTTACTTTGTCTTTGTTTGACTTTGTTGATATGAAGCTCTATAAGTTTTCATTTTATTTTTCATTATCTTCCTGGAAATTCATGGTTAAGGAGAAAATAAAATATGTGTCATTTTCCAATTCCTCCTTTCTGAACTTGGAGGCATCTGGAAAGCTTCCCCAAACCCCCTCCCCCTCTTTAAAGTAAAACTGGAGTTTTCTTTTTCTTTTTTTAAGCATGAAGAAACAGAAGATTTTGTTTTCACTTAAAAGAATGCTCAGTACAAGGACAATCCAGAGCTCTGTTTCCGCTCTCTCCTTCTCTGGTTGCTATTCTGGGAATGCAATACTATCCGTCTTTAAGATTGCACATGGATTCCAGCTGCAGCCCAAGCTGATGCTCTTTGTTCCCATTTTGTGTTTTGTTTTGCTGTTTATTAAATTTGGAAGAAGTCTTATTCCTGGACATCTCCCACCTTTGCTCCCCATGTTTCAATATACACACATATGGACATTAATTAATTCATTAGTTAGTTTGTTAAAGTATATGTGGTCTGTCTAGGTAATAGGAACACTGAAAACTAGGCCATTACTGTATGATCTAGTTAGCCAGCCAATTCCAGGAAATCTTCTATCTTCACTAAGTAAGCATTCCAGATAATTTCTAGGCACCATATAAATAGCATGTATTAAAAGTCCAGAGTGTCCAGACATCAACTAGGGGCTTTCCATAGATTTTTCACTTTTTTATTAATATAAGCTTATGGGCAAAGCAGCTGCTCCCATGGTCATTATTTTATAGATAGTGGGGGCAGTAAGGCCCAGAGCCAGGAGGAGGTGGAACAGTAGGAAGTGAAGCCATACAGCTGTTCTGGTGCCAGCCTTTTATACATTCCATCATATGGGTGCCCCTCTTCCTGTTCACAGACCCTATAAGAGCACAGGGTGATGGGAAAATGAGCTTTAAAGCAAGACTGGAGGAGGCTGAGGCAAGGGAGGCAGAATCTTGCAGAAATACTAAAGCTAACTTACCATGTCCTAGAAGCAAGTACCTCCTCAAAGGTCAGAAAACATGGCTCCACATTGGTTCTTTGTTGCTTCCTATATAGTTCCTTTGAGAGTTGAGGGCAGCTAGAGACCCTCTCACAAAACAAATGCCTAGTCACACCATATTTCTTATGCCATAGAGTCTTTAGTTTTTTTTGTTGTTTTTTTTATTTTTATTTTTTTTTTTCGAGACATGGTTTTTCCGTGACGTTGGAGGCTGTCCTGGAACTAGCTTTTGTAGACCAGGCTGGTCTCAAACTCACAGAGATCTGCGTGGCTCTGCCTCCTGAGTGCTGGGAGTAAAGGTGTGCACCACCGCTGCCCGGCAGCCATAGAGTCTTAAACTCTGAAAAAAGAACACCCTCAAGAGGTTTGGGTTTTATTCCTACTATAATCGTTTTTTTTAAAAAGAGGAAATGAACTATTTCTTAAACCTGGATTTTTTTCTATAAGTGGCAAAGCAAATAGCAAGTTAATATAAGACAAGCAATCCAATAAGATACTGCAATTTCCCCCAAAATACCACCAATGGGTTGATATCAATATATGCAAATCCATTTTTGATATGTCTTCATAATATTACCATTGAAGAGTGCACTGAGTTTTAAGCACATATTAAAAAGGACATAATGTTTTCACTTTGCAGAAAAGGGAGTGTAAGCCTTGCCTCGCCCAGACTCTGCTTTTCCTCCATTTCCTCTTTCACATAGACAAGGCTCTGGCAAAGCTTTGTGATCCCCAGACCTTTTTTTTTTCTAATCTGCGTCAATTTTCTTCCATGCTGCAATCCATAAAGAAGTGATGTCACAACAAATGTTTTGCAAACTAACAAGTAGGTAGGAGAAATGGAGAAATGATCTGTTCTTTTTCCATAATTTGCAATGTAGTATTTTGTCTGTCTCTATTCTTCTGCCCATTCTATGTGCCCTACCTGTTCATGCAACTAAAAAAAAATTCTAACCAAAGAATCTCTTCTTTGTTAATCTACTTCTACCCTTAGCTTCTATTAGAAGGGCTTAGCTAACTCCTATTCCTATGCCATGCTTATGTAGTCCATCTGCTCAACCCCCTACAAGGCTTGTATTCAGTATTCTCCATGGAGCCATTTGCAGGCCTTCTAGCTCATGTCTATCACTTCTCTGAATGCCTGTTTGCCCCTGTCTTCATATCCTCCACCTCTAGACTCCTATATTCTCTACTGTCATTGATAAAAAGCTCCCTCTCTCTCTCTCTCTCTCTCTCTCTCTCTCTCCTTTCTCTCTCTCTGAAATTAACCTATAGCATAGCATAGATTAGATCATCTGTTTCCCAGTGCTCTCACAGTTCATATCTTAGCAGGATGGAAGCATTCAGTACTTTATGAACATGGCCCAATTTCTTGTCACTCCCCAGGTACTACTCAGCTCTGTAGCCTTAAGTCTAAAACAGCTGCTTCCTTAAAGTCACTTCTAACCTGTCCAAGGAAGTAATGCTGTCTTTCTATTTTTCCCTGCTGTTTTATCTAAGTAACTTAGACTAGCTGCAGTGTGAAGGACAGCTGGACATTTACTATTTGCAGAGTCCATATGATCACTAGCCCATATGATGATATGATGACTTTATATGAATTGATGAAAGAAACCTTTCTGCAAAAGCTTTTTACTGCTACTTGCAGGGATACTGTCCTAATAACTTTGCAAATCTACAGTGACAAGTGAGTATATGGTACCTCTCCAGAGTTGTTAACAGATGTGACAGTTACATTGCAATAAGTGGAAGCTCCCTGGATGACAAGGGCTAAGTTATCTAACCATTGTCCTTCAGTTTTCACCCATGAAATGTGGCCACAATGACATTTGTCTTGCTTATTCAAAGGATTAGGTACTGTGGCATAAAACCGACACATGATAGGGGAAGTCATAAATGGTAGCTAGGATGCTAGCAGGCTAATATGAATCTATATTTTCATCTAGGGATATTGTCTTCTCTGGGTACTGGAGTCTTGATGAGCTTTGAACTGAAAACTGGGTGTCTCAAAATTATTCCCCAAAAGCAATATGATAGTAAGTTGCACTGGAGGTTTTGCTTCCCTCAGTGCCTTCTTAATCACCCAAGACTGCTTTCTCCTTCTCACATAGTACTTAAGGAACACCAGAGAGGCAATTGACATACCTTCCAATCAGGGCTCCATTTCCACTCAGCCACCAGACTCTACAGCTTCCATTATCTCTATAGTCCATAAAGGCTACCCCCAGACGGATAATGTAACTATGCAACAATTATGGGAATTATAGTATACCCATAGAAGAGCTGTGTATGCTGAAATAAGGTGTAAGGACCAGATGATGAAACCTGAAGCCAGTGGGGTTTCTCTAATTAGAACTCCTACAGAAAAAATGGCTACCTTGGGAATGTTCAAGTTCTGTTCTCACACTCCTGGTGGGAAGGAGGAGGAGAAATGCAGAATTGCTATTCTGAACTCTGGTAAAAAAAATACATATGTTCATGGCCTGTGAGAACTAAACCTGTCACGTCCATCATATAGCTGAGCTCTGCTTAATAATTTAAATAATAGCATATGTACAGGTTAAGTAAGATTGGAGCAACTCTGGCTCCGTTTTATTGGGAAAACCAACATCAGAGAGAAGTATGACTGTATGAGATCCAAGAACGAAATGTGGGCCCCTATGAGGGTCAAGATTTAAAAGGGTACCAGCAAGCAGACTGTATCTTTTGACCAATGATGAAACTATAAAACTCTTGAAAGTATAAGTGTGAATGAAGAGAACCACAGCCCCAAATCTCATAATGGAGGATGGATCATACTATCCCTGAATCGGGGCCAGTTTCAACTAGAATATGCTTAAATGGTCTATAGAACTTTTGCAAATGTGCCTGTAACAATTGACCTTAAGGGGCACTGCTATACAATAGCAAAGACCAGAACCTCCAGTCCCCTCCATACTTTACTTAAAAGCAGAATAGAAGCACCATCTCATTCAGCAAATGCCTGCTTTGGAGAAGTGATGAAGTGATTTAAGGAGTGAAAGGATCTCTATACACCAATGCAGATATACACCAATGAGATAAGAGAGGGTTGTCACATTTTGATTCCAAGTCAGCGAGACAGATGTAGTCAGTTGTAGGAATGGTATCCTTCTCTCACTCCTGCATTCCATTTTGACACATTTTCAAAACCCTTCTGTAGCCAATTGTTTATCTTCCTCCCACAAATGGAAATTTAGTCTCCAGTAAGGCATCTTTATGTAAAATAGGAGCCTCATTTGGAGGCATCATTGAAACATCAAGGAGGTCACCAGTTTTTGTGTTTTCAGGAACTGAGCTGCCAGAGAAGGCACTGGGTGGGCACAACTATTACATAAACACCTAGGTCAGAGAACTTGTGATTGAATTTATAATGACCATGAAAACAAACCTTTCAGCATGTCAGTAATGTGTAATATACATTAGATGGAGGTGGGAAGACCCACTGTGCATGTGGTGATGTCATTCCCTGGGCTGGTGCCTCCACTGAATAAAAAGGAGAAAGTAAGTTGGCTGTCAGCAGCCGTCTTTCCCCTTTTTCTCATTTCAGACACAAAGTGACCACTTGCTGCTTGTTGCTGTCACCATGACTTGTTTGTCATGACAAATAAACCCCTCCTTCTTTATGTGGCTTTTGTCAGGTATTGTGTTGATGTAATGAGATAATTAACTAAAGCAGACAGTGAGGTGTCATGTTTTCCAATTGAAATGTATGGCCACATTGCTGGTTTGTGCTTTACCCTCCAGAACAACAGACACACAATAGCAAAGAAGTCACTCTATTTATGGCAGCATACCTCTTGTCCATCTTTGCTGACATTATCATCAGCATGCCTGGCCACAATGGAGAGGAACTGTAGGAGGCGGTGGAGGGTGTCGCAGTTGCAGGGAGGTAGAAGGTAGATGAGGAGTTGCAAGGTGCCCAGTTGTTCCTCTGGCTCCAACACTACACAGGGCAGAGAGAGGCACTCTGAGAAAGACTGGAGGAGCTGACACTGTTTGGGCACTGAGGTCAGGTTTCCGTTCCACTATCTTAAGAAAGAAGTTACCCAGGCCAGCCCTACTTTGTAATGTCACCCATTTTCCTACTACTTTAGCAGCGTAGTTACAAACACCTATGAAAGATATAGAGAACAGCTGGACATCTGGAGAAATCATGAGAAAGATATCTCCATTTCCCTTCTTTTCATCAGCCTCCTTTCTTTTATTCATTACTCAGACTGATTTAATTGGTTTTAGTACACACTAATAAATATTCACTGATGGTGACTGGGAATTGGTGAATGTTTTGAAATCTTTTTATAATGTGTTGAAGGGTCCTTTCTCTTGAACAATATACAAAGTACAGACCTTTTGTTGGCAATATTCAAGACATGTGACAAAGACATTGTCTTCTTTCTCAGCCACCATCTCATTGGAATTGCTACTTTGCAGGAAGAAATGTGTGCAAGCTGACACGTCTCTGACATTTCCCTTCTCGCCCTCCCCAACCTTTCTCTTTCTCTAGAGTCTGTGTGCATAGCCAGACACAGCTTCTTTGAAAACGCTGATACTGGGCTATGCCATTTTGCTTCCACTGAAAACACTTTCTGCCCTCTTTCTTTCTCCGGGTTCTTTGGCTCCCTCCTTCCTCATACCAGAAGCCAGGATTCATTTTTAGGCACAGACTCAATGCAAGTTCTTGCCAGCACTCCAAAGCATCAACTTATAGCACTTTCTACTTTCCTGGGGTCATTGGAAAACATCTGACGTTCTTGGCTTTTCCCATTCGTGTTAGCCCAGCTTTCTTCTTGCTAGTTTCCCCCAGGGTATATCTCAGAAAATCCCCCAAGTAGTCCATTCTTTAGAGGCCAATAAAGACAAAAGCAGTTATCAGAAAACACATGCACAAGATTTTCATGAGTGAGCTGGACATCCTGGTAGTCCAGGGTTACTTTCCAACAAATCTGGCTTTGTTACGTACAGAGAGTGTTGATGAATGCTGTGTATAGCTCCCTGGTGAGAAGTGGGTCAGGCATGTCCCTGAGGAACTCCTTCAACAAGGCTGCCACATCATGAACACTGTGCTCCTCTTCCAGACAGACATCAATCCCACGGTCAAATTCCTCACGCAACTAGAAAATCAATGGTTCAAGTATCAGTTACATAAGACTCAGAGGGTTAATTTGACAAGAAGCTTCATACAGCAAATGACACCTTAGAACCATCTAAGGTGTTTGGTGCTCACCCCCCTCCAAAAAAAGTGATATTAAGTGTGTACAGATTACAAGAAGGGGAAAAAAAGAAACAATATTTCACCTTGAGCTACAGACTCTACAC